CTCAACCAATCACATTGGTGAGGATTGCAGCAAGAGATGTTTATTAGAGAATGCAATTTTTTTACTGTGAAGTAATTAATCAGAAATTTGTTTCTGATCCAGAATACCTCTTGTGCTCATACAGGATAAAGTTAATAAAGATGAATATTAAAAACCCACCAAAAGGCAATTCAGAGAAGGGAAAAGAATAGAGCATTTCAAAACAATGTGGTAAGTACTGTAGCAAATACCTGGTAATATTTGAAGAAATAGTGTCTGAGTTTGTTGTATAGAATGAGTAAATATTTGCTGGTAAAAAGGCAATGGAAGACCATCGCAAATATGAAGAAAAATCCCATGGATCTGAGGTATGCCTTGGGGCAGGTTTTAAAAAGTGACCTTTTCTTCAACACACTTTATTTCCATCTGTCACAAAATTATCATATTGTACTAATTTTATTAGAGTAACATACTTTAGTGCCATCTGCCATAAATTAATTCTAATAACCATACAAATGGAAAATATCTACATTATGAAGGTACCCCTTAGAGTGTTCAATGTGTGATCTGGGGAAAGTATACAAGACAGTTTTATTTTGTTTTTCCTCCTAAATGGTAGAGAAAAACCACAGGGACCGGTAATAATATTTGGCTAAAAGAAATTATATTAATGTCCAGAAAATAAATCTTATTCAGTCAACCTTGGTGGAGACCATCTATCTGACAGATTAGCCATCTTCAAGTTAAGGGCTAGAGTATGTGTTTATGGTTACCAAAGCATTCTGAGATGATAGGTCAGGTCAAATGCCTTTGAGGTGAGAGCCAATCAAGTTAATTAATAGTCTTTCTCCAAAATCCTATCCTCTGGGGTTTAATGTGCTCCTCCTCTACAAGCTAGCACTGTTGCTTTCCTTCTACAACTAGTTCTTGAAGTATTCACAGCACCCTTTCCTAACCCTCATTGTGTGTCTTGTTCATGTTGTTGAGGCAATTTGGACTCCCAGTAATCCATGTGACACAGAACTACTCAAAATAATGTAATCTTCACAGAAGGAGATTGCTAGGTTTTCTCTTGTGGAGAAACCCACTGGGTAGTTTCAAACTGCCAACCTCAGCAGTTGAGCACTTAATTGTTTGTGCCACCAGAACACTTTCCATTATATTGAACTCATATCATTTGTTTGGATTCATTTCTTGGTATTTTCCCTCTGTATACCTCGTGTATCTTTAACCATTCTAGAACCTATCCCACATTCTGATATGTGGGCCATGCCAGGATCACTTTGATTTTGTCACCTCATAATCATGATCAATATCTTTCCCTCTAGTCCCTGTATCTTACTAAAGCATATAAAATACTTGCTACCTCTTGTTCATCAAATCCAATCAGCACAATTTCCTCAAGGTAGTGAACAAGTATGGTATTTTGTGGAATATGAATGAGTAGGCTTCAAAAAGTTTATAGAAAAAAGGAATGAAAAGATACTGGAATTTTTCCATGAAGCCCCCTGGTAAAAAGATGTTCAATACATATGTGAATTATATCAAGGAGACTTGGTGTAGCGGTGAGGCATCAAAGTGTACTGTTCACTTTGCTAGGTAAAAGCCAACTGTTTCTGATCGTTTTTGCAAATTGGTATAGAGAAAATCTGGCAGACGACAATAGAGGAAATGGCATTAACTAGGCCAAAAGGTATATAACAAGAACCAGGCGCTGTGTTGATTTGTTCCAGTAAAGGTACTATTTTGGGGATAATAGTTGCAATCGGATTCATCTCATGATTGTTTACAATAGTTCAATCACTCAACAAGATCCATAGGACTTTTTTACAAGCCAAATTGGTGAGTTAAGTGAGGATGTGATAGGTATCACTATGCTGACTTCTTTTATGGTGGCATTAATCCCTACAATTTCCCACAGGGATATGGTTTTTGTTGTGCTTTTTTTTTTTTCTGGTTTACTATCTTGCCATTTGGCCTCTCCTGTTCTAGTAGCGTAGTGGTTACGAATCGGGCTGCCAACCTCAACGTCAGCAGTTCGAAGCTACCAGTGGTTCCGCGGGAGAAAGA